GGAAGGCTGAGGCGGAAAGATCGCCAGAGCCCAGCAGGTCGAGGCTGCAGTGGCCGGGAGAGGCCACTGCACTCCAGTCTGGGTGATGGAGTGAGATTCCAACTCAAAAAAAAAGAAAAGTAAAGAAAAGAAAATGGTACTGTAAAGAATATTTACTGATGTGGAAGATGCTCAATGATATATGTTTTGAGTTGGAGTCTCCCTCTGTCACCCCAGGCTGGAGTGCAGTGGCACACTCACGGCCACCATAGCCTCGGTCTACTGGGCTCAGGTGATCCTTCCGCCTCAGCCTTCCAAGTAGCTGGAACTACAGGCACATACCACCATGCTAATTTTTTAAAATTTATTGTAGAAATGAGGTTCTACCAAGTTGCCCAGGCTGGTCTTGAGCCCGAGGGCTCAGGCAATCATCTCACCTCGGCCTCCCAAAGTGCTGGAATTGTAGGCGTGAGCCACCATGCCTGGGGATATATTAATCTTTAAAGTATAATCTCATTTTTATAAATTTGCAAAAGCAAGTAGGTAAGCCAAAATCTAAACTTGTTTCCTTTGGGTGACAAACAAAAAATCAGCCGAGCATGATGGTGCATGCCTGTGGTTCCAGCTACCTAGAAGGCTGAGGCAGAAGGATCGCCAGAGCCCAGCAGGTTGAGACTGCGGTGGCCATGAGCATACCACTGCATTCCACTCTGGGTGGCAGAGTGAGACTCTGACTCAAAAAAACCCAAAAGCAGCAACCTTGGGTTTTCATCTTAGTTAATTAACTTATTACAGTCATACACCACTTGGCAAAGGGGATATATTCTGAGAAATGTACCATTAGGTCACTTTGTCACTGCACACTCTATGAACTGGGACAAATAATTAAACCTCTCTCTAGCCAATTTCTCTTGGCTATCAGTGGAGACAATATCATCTATATCAGAGATTTTTTTTTTCTTGAGTCAGAGTCTCACCGTGTTGCCCAGGCTGGAATGCAGGGGTATGCTCACGGCCACCCCAGCCTTTACCTGCTGGGCTCCAGCAATCCTTCCGCCTCAGACTTCCAAGTAGCTGGAACTACAGGCACACGCTACCATGCTCGGCTAATTTTTGACCTATTGTAGAGATGAGGTCTCGCCAAGTTGCCCGGGCTGGTCTCGAATCCCTGGGCTCAGGCAATCCTCTCACCTCGGCCTCCGAAAGTGCTGGGATGACAGGCACGCCCAGCCGAGACGTTTCTTAACCCTCAAATCAGATGAACACACATAAAGCATGTGGGAAATGGTAATGTACTGTCCAAATGTTACTCGAGTGGATAGCAACTGTAAATTTTTTTTTGAGTTTAAGAACACTGGGAAACTGTGGCTGTTAAAATCCCCAATGTTTGGAAATGTATACATCTATGTGTGTTGGTATGTGTTTTAAGTATCAGCACACCATCAATATATTTATCTTTGTGTTTGTTTTTAGGGATTGGGGTCTCACGATGTCGCACAAGCTGGAGGACCATGCTGTTCACAGGGACAGCCATCAAGCACTTCAGCTCCAGCCATCCTCCTGCCTCAGCCTCCCAAGTAGCTGTGCAGGCACACACCACCACATGTGGCTGACAATCTGTTTTTCAATGACCCACTGGCTCTTGAAGAGTTGAGTTTTTATTTTATTTTATTTTATTTTTTTTGAGTTGGAGTCTCACCCTGTCGCCCAAGGTTATTCTTATTAGGATGGCAAAATATATGACCTTACTCCTTTTACCTGTAAACGTCTTTTTATTGAGAGGACAGAAAAGCTCCCACAGTGGGAGGGGACCCGAGGGGGTTGCCCTTATGCTTTTAACAATAATCTATTAGAGAACTCTTAGCATCGAAGCACAGTGGCTCATACCTGTAATCCCAGCATTTTTGGAGGCCGAGGCAGGAGGATCACTTAAGTCTAGGAGTTGGAGACCAGCCTGGGCAACATACCAAGACTTCGACGCTACAAAAATCTAAAAAAGTAACTGGGCACGGTGGTGAGCACCTGTAGTCCCAGCTACTTGGGAGGCTGAGATGCAAGGATTGCCTGGGCCCAGGAGGTCGAGGCTGTGGCTGTGGTGAGCCATGATCGTGCCACTGCACTCCAGCCTGGAAGACAGAGTGGGATATCCCCACACTCAACAAACAATACCACCAACAACAAAAGAACTCTTAGGTCAGCGAGTTTCAGGTCTGGAGGGATAATAAATAAAGCCTCACTTTAGGAGAAAACTCCTGGCAAAGGGGCTGCATCATGCATACAACAGTTTGCCTCAATTAGGTAAAATATCATGATTGCCGGATGTGGTGGCTCACGCCTATCATCCCAGCACTTTGGGAGGCCGAGGTGAGAGGATTGCCTGAACTCTCAAGTTCGAGAACAGTCTGGTCAATTTGGCAAGACCTCATCTCTACAATAAAAATTAAAAAATTAGCCGGGCATGGTGGCAACGTGACTGTAGTTCCAGTTACTGGAAGGCCGAGGCAGAAGGATCACCTGAGTCCAGCCAGTCAAGGCTGCGGTGACCAGGAGCATGCCACTGCACTCCAGCCTGGGCGACAGAGTGAGACTCCAACTCAAAAAAAAAAAATCATGGTTAAGAAAATGTTTCTGGCCAGGAGCCGTGGCTCACAGCTGTAATCCTAGCACTTTGGGAGCCCAAGACAAGAGGAACTCTTGAGGGGTCTGAGACCAGCCTAGGCAACATAGCCAGACCTTGTTTCTACAAAAATAAAAAATAAAGAAAATCAGCCAGGCATGGTGACATGCACCTGGAGTCCCAGCTACTTGGATGGCTGAGGCAGAAGGATCACCTGAGCCCAGGAGGTCGAGGCTGCAGTAGCTGTGATCGTGCCCCTGCACTCCTGGCTAGACAACAGAGAGTCCAATTCCAAAAAAAGAAAAGAAACTGTGTCTGTGATCGATAATGCCTATATTCCAACTAAACAACTCAATGGATTTATTTCTAGATATATTTCAACATTTAAAAAGTACCTGCACATCCAAAAGGCATTTAGTTCTGCTCAGATAGGATGCTTGATACATTCAACATGGCATTAATACTCGTCCCAAAACAATCAGCATTCTCTATCATTTTGGCTGTAACTTTTCTTTTGGAATTGGCAATAGGGGTTTGCAGTAGGACAAACACTCCTGGGATTCTCTCATTTTAAACCTGGTGCCAAAACTACCCAAAACAAAAATAGCCACAAAGAAAGTGTCAACGTTCTGACGTTAGTTGCTAATGTGATCAGTCGCTGAAAAGTCAGAAACGCGGACCCCGCAAAATAAACAGCAGACCTGATGTAAATTTTCTCTTGAGGGCCCAAATGTTTGTATTCTTTCGAGGCTATGGCATCCATTTATTTTCACCTCACGTCACCGGAATTTGTTGGTTCCATCTCTATGGAAACCATTCAGAAGGGTGATGATGTGAAGCCTACCACCCATGTGTGCACAGCCCTTCCTATCAGCCATGGTAGGTACAGAATCACTCTCTGGCTCGGATCAAGTTTCAGAGAACAAGAAGAAGCAATATTTTAAATACTCCCCAAAACAGTTGAAAGCCCATCCAAAAACGCTGACTGCTCTTACAGTGAATTAACACATCCACACTCAGCCAGGAAGTAATAGGGTGAATATTCTGCACGGCCACCAAGAGCAAAGGCAGCTGGCCAGCATCCAGACCGCTTGAATGCGGCAGCCTTGTACTTGTGAGGCTTTTTTTTTTTTTTTTTTTGAAGGAGGAAAGAGAGACAGGCGATTTGCTTTCGGAATCAGGCTTGGAGCTTACCATTCAGACTTTTACCAATACCATAGTGAAAAAGAAGCCCTCAGCAATGCAAACACATTCGTATGCACACCAAGAACAGAAAAACTAGTTCTTTGATTTTCCTGTTTTTGATTGATTGATATAAATAGAGACAAGGTCTTGCTATGTTGCCCAAGCTGGTCTCAAACTCCTGGGCTCACATGATCCTCCCACGTGGGCCTCCCAAATTGCTGGGATGACAGGCCTGTTTTCTGTTCTCATTCTCTTTTTTTTTTTTTAAGTTGGAGTCTCATTCTGTTGCTCAGGCTGGAGTGCAGTGGCATGCTCACAGCTATGCCAGCGTCGACCTGCTGGACTCAGGTGATCCTTAACCTCACCCTTCCAAGGAGCTGAATCTATAGGCACATGCTATGACACCCAGTTAACTTTTTGATTTATTGTAGAGACAAGGTCTCACCAAGTTGCCCAGGCTGGTCTCGAATCCCTGGGCTCAGGCAATCCTCTCGCCTTGGCTTCCCAAAGTGCTGGGATGACAGGCTTGAGCCACCACACCCAAACTATGTCAGAACCAACACAGTAAGTATTGGAGTGGGGGAGAATCTTGGTCCACAGACTTCTGTCTGGATTTTAAAGGGACAAGTAATTGTGTCCCCTTTCTCACCCACATTCTGTGTTCACAACCAACTGAAAAAGAAGCCATGGTATCAGGTAAATGGAGGCTTGATTACTAGCGCTTACTATTATTATTATTATTGTTATTATTATTATTACTATTAAGTCAGAGTCTTACTCTGTTGCCCAGGCTGGAGTGCAGTGGGCCTCTGAAGCGGCGTAAAGCCCTGAATCTGCCCACCTGGAGCCTCTCCGTGTTGCTCAAGTAGAGGAATTACCAGCACCCACAACTTAGAGTTCCAGCAGATTTTACGGGCATAGAAGTGGGAAGAGGCTTCCACAGACTCAACACTTGAGCAGGAAAATCTCCCAAGGGAAACCTGGTAGGTTCCTGGATATTAGAGCCAGCCTGGGGTGGGGGCACGGGCAGGGGTGGGGGCAGTGAGCGGGTTCTGAGACTCCACAGGGAAAAGTGAAGCGTGGGGAAAATCGTGAAATCAAAGTCCTCCGGTTATTTAGTCAAGCAAATACGTTACCATCCTGAGTTCTCCAGTAAGTTCCGCAAAATTGTCTGTGGCACCGAGCAGTTATAATAGCCCATGCCAATATACGATCTCCAGATCTGGTTTTTGCTTGAAATGGCACGCAGAGTTGCAAGGATTTCATTTTCGCCTGATGGTGGAAAGAAAGAAAATGCCTCAGAAAGGAGCTCTAATTACAGTTTAAAACCCTCATTCTGTGGGAGTATTTATAAGAGAACGGCGATATGGAAAACACAAACTAATTCGTCCAAACAACGCTAAGCACTGTATGTGGAAATCTGGAAAAAATTCCCCACATGACACTCAATTTCTCCTCATGGTCGGACCCTCATGATTGTTCTGGGTCCTTTTTTGGGTTCTGTTTGCCAGAATCACCTGGCTTTAACACTTGCCTCATTCCAATGTTCATCTATTCCCTTTAGGTTTCTAGTATATTTACTCTAAATAAAAATTCTTACTCTCTGTAAAATACTGTGTTTTCCCTTCTAAATTGCCTTATACTGTCTGGAAGAAGACCTACATTTTATCTAAAATTGTATAGGCTGGCCATTTCTCCTTTCTGTCACCAAAATAAAAACGGATAAAAGCCCATCATTCAACAATGTGAAGTATCAATTGTAATAAAAGACTCACATGCAGCTTTAACCAGCATTCCCGCTAAGGCACTTAGGTAATTCACTAAGAAGTATAAAAAACAGCCAGGCTCGGTGGCTCAGCCGGTAATCCCGCGCCTTGGGAGGCTGAAGTGAGTGGATTGCCTGAGCCCCGGGTTCATGACCCACCTGGGCAGCTTGGCGAGCCCTCATCTCTACAATAGATCAAAAACGAGCCGGACGTGGTAGCACACGCCTGTAATTCCAGCTACTAGGAAGGCTGAGGCGGAAGGATTGCCGGAGCCCAGCAGGTCGAGGCTGCGGTGGCCGGGAGTGGCCACTGCACTCCAGTCTGGGCAATAGAGTGAGACTCCAACTCAAAAAAAAAAAAAAAGTATAAAAAGTGACTGGGCTTGGTCTATAAGCCCAGCAATTTGGGAGGCCAAATGAGAGGGCTGTCTGAGCCCACAGGTTTAAGACCAGCCCAGGCAACTTGGCGAGACCTCGTCTCTACATTAAATCAAAAATTAGCCAGGCATGGTAGTGTGTGCTACTTGGAAGGCTGAGGCGGAAGTCCAGCAAGTCAAGGCTGCGGGTGACCGGGAGTGGCCACTGCACTCCAGCCTGGGCGACAGAGTGAGACTCCAACTCAAAAAAAAAAAAAAAAAAAAAAAAAGAAGTATAAAAGTTCTCAGACAGTGGTGAGACCTATTTTGGGTCATTTGTATAACAACAGCAAAATAATAACAGCATCTGACGTTCATTGAGCATGATTCTTCCAGGAATTGCACCATATGTTTCTTGTGCAGCCCAGGAAATGCAGGATTGAAGAGGGTCACCTGGCCGAGGTCACGCAACTTTACATGGAAGGATTACTAATCCAGCCCCCCTAACTCCAGATTCCACATGCTAACTCACTCAGCAAGGCTGAGACCTGCCACGTGTACACCACTTACACTGACGGGCACCCTTCTGACACAAACGACATTATGTGGTTCTTTCTCTGCCTCTCTGCATAGATTAGGCTACTACAATTTAACTGGGATTTAACTGCTACGGCAAATGTCTGGCTTCTTTAAGATCTTCCTAGGGATATAGTCACTGAGCCCTAGGAACAGACTGGTTTTACTGTTGCTCTATCAGGGGAAAATCTAAGCACAGCAAAACCCAAGACAACAAACTGGCTAGGCAGCCACTTCACATTGTTTCAACCACACTGAATTCTACCACAATATTGTTATCAACCCTTCTTTATCCTCAGTGGAAACACTCTCACAGCCTAGGCAACATAGCAAGGCCTCGTGATTGTGCCACCGCCCTCCTGCTGGGTGACAGAGCGAAGGCCCAACTAAAAACTCACAAGCAAACCAAAAAACACCACTTTGGTCCTCCACACCACACACACACACTTCACAGGAAATAAATTTACAAACTGAGTTCTCACTTTGTCTGAGTAGTTGAAGGAAAGAGAAGACAGTTTTGGAACTAACAGTTTCAGGCGTTAATATAATCCAACTGCCTTATGGCAGATGATTGTGCCTCCCTGAAGTGAAAGTTTAGGGACCCAGTGAAAAGACAGCATCTGAGGAAACAACCATGCGAGAAATCCAATCATTGCCTAAGTCCTCTTCTGGGGGTAGAGTGGTTCAGAAGCCCAGTGGGACGGGAGATTAATTAGCAGCGCCTGGCAGGCAAGGCCAGCTTCAATTAAGAGCCTGTGGGAGAGGGCCAGGGCCGCTCCACATTACGCAGCGAGGACAAAAGGTCCAGCGCTCGAACGAGAACAGGCTGTGAAGGGCTTTGTCTGTCAAGTGAAGACTTCAGTCCTGGGAAACCACGGAGTATTCTCAAGCGGAAGAATAACACAACTCTAAGATAATTCTACTGATGGTGTGGAGAGGCCCCAGAGGGGAGGGGAGGTCCTGGACACAGGGAGATCCGATAAGAGGCCTCCACATCAGACCGGGAGGGAGATGAGTAGCAGGAATGCCAGGGATGGAACTGTAGCCCCCAGAATGGTGTGTTGAGATCCTAACCTTGGACACCTGTGAATAAGACCTTCCCTGAAAGTGGGGTCTTTACCGAAGTAGTCAAGTTGAGAAGAGATTAAGATGAGTCAGTCCTGATCCAATGACTGGTGTCCTCATCAGAGGGAAATCTGGACACAAAGACACACACACACACACACACACACACAGTGAATCCCACGGGATGTCAGAAGCAGAGGCTGGAATGACGCAGTGACAAGCCAAGGGATGCCACAGAGGGCCAGCAGCCACCAGAAGCCAGGAGAGGGGCACAGAACCGACAGCCTCTGAGCTTGCCTGGAGAGCCGTGAAAACAACCCCCCAGGACGACGCCTTGGTTTCCGGTTTACCCTGCAGAACTGTGAACCCACCCAGTCTGTGGCATATTGCTCGAGAGCAGCCCTCGCAAATCAGTCAAGGAGCTGGATCCACCATCTGCCACGTCTAGGGGAGGAGGTGCAGGAGGTTCAACCACACTTCCGGTTGGCTCATGCGAACTCCCGCCCTTGGCCAGACGCCCTTTCCACACGCGGTCGTGTGTCCTTGCTTTCTTTCGTCGAAATTCAGCCACCAGGGCGGAGTGCAGTGGCGCAATCACAGCTCGCGCGACCTCAGCCTCCTGGGCTCCGGCGACCCTCCCGCCTCCACCTTTTCCAAAGGGCAGGGATTCCAGGCATGAGCCACTGCGCCTGGCCCGCATTGTCTTTACTAAGCACCTTTCTTGTCCACTGGCTCCAGAAAGCTGGCACCCGATCCTGGAATGTGCTGGGAGCGCACAGGGAGGCACTGCAGCTTCCCCCACAGCCCCACAGGGAGACACCGGTGGAGGTCAAGCCAGCAAAGCCAATTATCCAGCCCAAAGTTCTGCACTAGGCACTGCTCGCTCACTCTTACAGTCCGACACGGGGAAGGAAAGCAACATCATTTTGCAGTCATGCTGTTCCACGACTGGGGTAGGGCTGAGGTAACCAATGTAAAGGCTGACTTGTAACTGGCTCCACGCCTGGGGAAAATAACATAATGGCGGTTGAAATAAGGAGAGCTAGCTAAATGGGGCTGGGCAAGGTGGCTCACATCTGTGAGCCCAGTGCTTTGGGAGGCCGAGACAGGAGGATCATTCGAGTCCAGGAGTTCAAGACCAGCCCGGGCAACATGGCAAGACCTTGTCTCTACAAAAAAATTTTTGAAAACATTAGCTAGGTGTAGCAGCGCTCATCTGTAGTCCTAGCTACTCAGAAAGCTGAGGCAGGAGGATCGCTTGAGCCCAGGGGCTCATGACTTCACCAGAGCCCTCCAACCTGGGCAGCAGCATAACTCTCTCAATTAAAAAAAGAAGTCAAGGCCAGTTGCGGTGGCTCATGCCTATAGTCCCAGCACTTTGGGAGCCCACGAGTTCGAGACCAGCCTGGGTAGCTTGGCGAGACCTCATCTCTATAACAAATAAAAAAAATTTGGCAGGTGTGGTGGTGTGTGCCTGTAGTTCCAGCTACTTGGAAGGCTGAAGCGGAAGGATCACCTGAGGCCAGCAAGTTAAGGCTGCAGTGGCTGCGACCGTGCCATTGCACTCCAGCCTGCGTGACAGAGTAAGACTCCAACTCAAAAAAAGGTCAAATGGAAATTGGTGAAAGATAAAAGGGTGATCTAAACCAACACCCTCACAGTGAGTCTAACTGCCAGCCAAATTCTTCCAGTGCGGGGCTCTCCTTCCCCACACCTGCCCCTGGAGGCCAGTGGGATCGGAAACAGGAATGTGCTTCTGTGCCAAGCGCCGCCATCACAGTCCCTCCGTGGGGTGTGATCTGGAAAGCGCCACTCAAGGACTTCGGCGGGGAGAAGGCCCCACTGGGACAGGCGCCTGGGGTCGCAGGGCGGGACCCGAGAAGAGTCTGGTGGGCCCGGAACCGAACTCCAGATCTCCTCCTGGAGGACACAAGAGGCCACGCTTCTGCCCGCCTTCAGCCAAACCTGCTGCCCTTGCTCCAGTGGAGGTGTTCCAACGCACTTTTTGGTTTTGCTTGTGGCCCTTTAGAATTCCTTGGCTATGGCTTTGGCGTCTTCTCCTGGCATCGCAGCCGTAGTTGTGTGGCTAATCCCCACTGAGCTGGAAGAGAGGGCTAAGGCTTCACCATGGGTCTGCACCAGAGGCCGCCTTTCGGGTGGATGACACAGGTAGGCACGTCTCCCCACGGGAAGGGGAGTCTAAGATCCCTGGGAAGGGGGGAAGGCCCCACCCAGTCCTGACAATGAGCTCTGCAAGGCCAGACTCTCCGCTGAGAAGCGGAATAGAATAAGAAGTGCAGGAGTAAAGGAAAGCCGGTTTTTTCTTTTTCTTTTTTTTTTTTTTGAGTTGGAGTCTCACTTTGTCGCCCAGACTGGAATGCAGCGGCCGCCCCCGGCCGCCACAGCCTCGACCTGCTGGGCTCCGGCAATCCTTCCACCTCAGCCTTCCGAGTAGCTGGAAATACAGATGTGTGCTACCACGCCTGGCTAATTTTTGATTTATTGTGGAG